ATCTATCTATCTATCTATCTATCTATCTATCTATCTATCATCAGAATGACTCATCCTCTAGAATACATTATAGCCCAGCACTTCTCTGCACCACAAATCTTGATCCGAGAAAAAAGATGTTTTTCCAGATTTTATTCCAAGACCTTAACTTTAATGCAGGCTTATAAGTAGCCAATTGCCTAGTCCCTTGTGCCAAGTTTACAGCTGCTTCCAGGAGACCAAGCTAAGGGACGTTAGAAGAGCTGGCTCGTCATTCATTGATCTGGGTGGGCCACAAATTATGTACAGCTCATCCAGTGGGCTAAGAAATATTCTGGACTATCAAATTAGAAAATGTGTTTATAAGCATAATGTCTTTTTTTTTTTCCACTGCCAAGAACCTACACATCTCCCCCTCTCTGTGATGCCTCCCCTTCTCCAGAAACCAACCTGTTTGGCAAAGACAGCAATGTCTTCATTGAAGGAATCCGATGAGCAGACATCTCCTCCAGGATACGAACCAGAAGTGTCTCTGGGAGAACATGTAGCCAGCTCACATTTTTCAAAGACCAGGGCGAGCAGTGGGAACAAGGGGTGCCTAAAAAGAAGAGGAAACAGTGTTTGGCAAACCAGTTGCATGGAGGCTCCAGCGGAGACACGCTGGAGGAGTTGAAGCCTAGGGTCATCTGCAGCTCTTGGTGAGAAGAAAGACAAACTGTTAATGTTTAAAGACCATTCAGTAGGAGGGAACATACTTCTAAATCCAGGAGAAAGAAGGACACCCGGTCCCACCGTTTGCTTTCTCTACAAGACTTCTATGCCTGCTCTTCTTGGAAGAAAGCCCCCATCATTCAGTCGGACCTCAAAGGCACACTCTGCATGCTTTAGGATATCTCTTTTTCCCCCCTCAAATGGGCATGCTCCAGGAATAAACCTGATGCAGAACACTAGCTCTAGGCAAGCATTCTAAATTTAGTAGAAGATTCACAGAAAGTCAGAAAAATGAATGGCTTTAAAAATCACAGAACGTTTCCTCCCAGCTCCGTATCTCTGACTTCTCCACATCCTTGGTCATCTGCCCAACACTGAGAACTCTGATTTTAGGAATCAGCCACCTTCATCACGATGCAACTGGTGCAGCATTAATGCACATCATGCTCAGTCACAACTGCACAGCCTCATCCCAGGACCCCCCACACACGTCACGGCAGGGCTCCCCTCCCCGAAGAAGAATAAGGAGGGAAAACAAATTCACCATCCTTCAGGTCCATCTACGTTGGAAATGTAGCCTTTTGACCAGCGAAGAGATTAAAGGATCTGTAAGGCTGCAAGCAAAGAATGAATGCTGCAAACTTTAGGGAGAAGATAAAAGTCTGAATGTACCATAAGAAACTTTCTTTCTTTTTTTCTTTTTTCTTTTTCTTTTTGTGGCTAGGATTAAAGTTATTTCAAAGACCGCTTCTGCTGGTAGGGAGCACTCCAACTCTGTCCCTTCTATGATTTATGTCAACTTCCAACCAGCAAAGTCCACCCCTCAATTCCTTCCTTCCCTCCTTTTTTCCCTGCTAGATTTGGAGGGATAGCGAGGGAGAGACAGTGTGTTCCCAGCTATACATTAGACAAGTTCACGCACCATATGTTACACAAATATTTGTAGCAGAGGCCCAGCCCAGAATAACTGTTAAGTGAGTGTCTCCACAGAACATTTCGATTTCAGAGGAGAAACCAAACAAGAGTCAAGGGGGGGGGGGGTGTACGTTTCAATCCTGCAACAATCCATCTTCCCTTCCCCTCCAATTCGCAGAGAAGAAAATGGCAAATTAAAAACACTGCTAGCTGTAACCAGTGATTTGGGTGTAGGGTATGGAGGGGAGGAAGGGGCACTGTAATGTCTCATAGCATGGCAAAAATATCTATATATATATATATATATATATTCTTCCAAAGACGGCCTGGGAAGCTTCAGACTGTAAGATGCAAGTCAAAGACGAAAGGAAAGGAAGGGATCTATCAATCTGCTTTAAGACCTTTCTGGTCGAGCAACGCTTTGAAAACGGTTTTTGGCCTTTCTTGACTAACAGCCTAAGCTGGCTAGAAAAAGAAAGAAAAAAAAAATGCCCTTTTGAGTCAGTAACCCGTGTCTTTGCTGGTTTCCAGTCTGCTTTAGGACTGGCAATTTTTGGTGTGGCCCACAGCAAGGGGCATTTTTGATTTCAGCACCCCACGACCGTCCGATTCTCTCTCTAAAGGAAGGAAAATATATTATCTGAAAGGGAAGCTGAACTCCTTGCCTTCTGAAGTTCCTGAATTCAGTTTTCTAAATCATCCTCCTTTAAGCTTAAAAAAAATGCATAATTAGAAAGCATTAACATCAATATTCAGCAGAACAAATATTTACCATTCATTAGGAGAAAAAAACCCTCAGCCAAGCAGGAAGCTAATATTTCCAGTCAACTAAGGAATAATCAGGTTGAGAAACTAGGAAAGTGGAAAAATCCAGGATTTAAAAGATGGGCAATTCTTTTCTCTCCTCCCCGTTTTTTTTCCTTCTCCAGTGACAGAACTGGAGAGAACAGACAGAAAGACCAGGGTGTTCAGAGTGAAAAGACGCAGCCCAGGTTGCCTGGCCCATAAATCTTTCTGCAGGGTCAAAATTATTGGTAGTGGAAATTTACTTGCCGAGATTTTCTGAGGCCCCTAAATCTACACAACTTCCACCAAAAATTAAAACAGCGGCCTCAGATTTGCATTCAACCATGCATCGGTTTAGAGAGTTAATCTTAAGAACTGTGTGCATATTACATTTAAGCACATGCATAAAAACACACAATCAAAATGCCATAAAGGTATGTATTACTCAGAGACATGGGTCGAGAAACTGTACTTCAGTCCAGATCCCAACTGAATGGTCAAACAGAATTGACCTCTGTGTGAAACGGTGCGATAATTAGAGTATGCATCTTTCTCTGAACACCACCGGTTGGCCTTTGGTGAAATACATTTTTGTGACTTTTGGGGGCACAAATAGATGATTGGGCCTGCTTTAGGTTCCTGTGTTCTGCAAACTTCCCCAGTGGGTCTCTTGATAAAGAGAATTGCACGACTGATCTTACGCAACATGGTAGATGTTCTGTGCAGGGATTCTCACACTCTCAAAATTCCAGAAACATCCTTTTTACTGATGATATATATACACTTGGGTATACTGGTAATATGACAATATGACTATGCACATTTGTATTTGTAACCCGCTTTGACTCGCTGTTCGATGTTTGGTAAGATTGTTTTTTAGGAATAAAAAAGTTTAAAATAAAAAATAAAAAATTCCAGAAACATCCACCGGATCAAGAGCTCTGGGAAATTAGTGGTGCTTGCAGGGGGATCCAAAAAGGCAAGACTTTGACTTTTTTTTTACACACACACACACACACACACACACCCTTGTTGGTTTGGAGGAGGGGTTGCTGGCATCTCCAAGGACGACCATCTCAGAAGAAAAGTAGTCCATCAGTAATAACAACTGAGACTGATCCCAAGCGTTACTTATTCCCAGCTCTATTTTGTCCACAAGTTGCCTAGAAAAAGGCCACTTTCTTGCACCATCTTCTTCATCCTCCACTCCCCTTTCTTGGCTCCTAGACTTTAAGCTTGGTTCCCTTCCCTCCTCCCTATCAAACATGGGGCAGGAGCATACCTCTGATCATCCTGAGGAACATCTGCCTTAGGTTTGTCAGTGATGAAGTAGCCACTGGTCCTGAAGGCTGGCATGGTGATGGGATCACTTGGAAGCAGTTGTACTGCCAGTGCGAACACCAGCGTTGGCAAGGGAAGATGCCAGTGAAACCTGGTCAGTCAAAATGGGGTCTTTGCATGTTTATGAAGGCCGGGAAGTTTACAGGACTCAAAGGACCCAGTCCATTGGTCTCTCCAAGACTCCTAGCTTAGTTTGCTGTGCCAACCCATTGCCCTATTATTATTTCATTATTATTTATTTAAATGTATTGCCCAACTTCATGGGCTCAGCCTTGTCTGTGGTGCTCTCTCATCAAACGTTCCTGCACTTGAGGTTCTAACCTGTCTTTCATATCTAAATCGAATCAAACCATTCAGTGCCTGTGACTGTCTCCATAAAATGTTTAGCCAGTTTTGGACATTTTCTGTTCTGACTTTGAGGTGAAGCATTTGTGGGGGGGGAAATATATGCACTCCGGCCGCAGGGAGTCCCTGGGTAAGAATGCCCAGTTTATAGACAACCCATAGTTCAGAACAGAGCCTGTTGTAGCAAAATTTGAGATAAATATACAGTGATTCCAGTTAAATACACAGTGGTTGGAGTTCATTACACAATACCATTTAGACCGTATTATATAATAATACTGTTCCGGCTTACATACAAATTCAACTTAAGGACAGACCTCGGGAACGGAACTCGTCCTTAAACTGGGGACTCCCTGTAACCATACAAGAAGCTACTTTCCTGTGGCCTCCAAGTTGTGTTTGATGACTATCTTTGGAGGCCTCCTCCTGCTTATTCAACAGTTGGGCTGTGAGTTTTAGCATTCAAATCTGCTGCTCCGTGGAATTAGGAAGGTCGTAGACCAGAATGCACGCAAATAGAAGAGGTATCCATAGACCGTAGCATCTAATAACTAACTGAACTTCCATATACAACGCCCTTTATCTGCTTCCAGTGGCACCCTTCAAAGAGACGGTGCTGCTCCAAGGGAGGAAACTGGATATTGGTAAAAATGGGACTTCTCCTCCAGATGTGTTGAACTAAGCATGACCAACAAGGGTGTACTGTGGAAACTTCACACACCCAAGATGTATCCTTTAATTATTCCACTGGAAGATATGGTGGTCTGCATTTCAATATAGCCAAAGGATCTATCAGAGACTGGATTTGGCAAAGCCACAGAGAAAAGCCATGATAGCAATGATTAATACCAATATATAAGTGGAGCCTTCAGGTCTGGTAGCAGAATACCTGGAATTTTTCAGGCTGTTTTTGTGGGCTTGTAGAATTATCTGGCCAGAAAGAAAACACCTGACCTAAACCTGGGTTTAGGAACCCTGTTTAATCATACCAAGTCCTTTTACATTGCATTCTCTGCACCGCAGAATGAAACCACTGTATTCGAGTTTCCTTATCAAGAGCGAGCTTTAAACACTATCACAGGATGATAAATGGAATTATTTTTCTCATACATTCAGTAAAAAGAAAACTGTATTCAACTCCTTAAGCGTATGACCTTGGAGAAGCCAGATCCAGATCTATTCCCTGGTCTTACAAAAGTCTGCATACACACACACACACACACACACTCACACTCACAGACACACACACAGAGGCTTCATTCCTGTCATAGAGATTCAGCATTACCAAATTCTTTCCCCACCTTTCAACATGGAACAGTCAACCTCAAACAGAACAGGAAGAACCAAGTAGTTTGTGGAACAATATAAATGCAAAGCTTACAATGATAAATCACATTAATTAAATGAAGGCGGGAGGGGGGGAAAACCTCCGCTGAGCAGGGAGCGAACGGTTTATCATTCCCCAGTTCCCCAATATGCAGTCAAACCTCACGCTCCTTTCTGCCTTCCTCTTAGAGTTCCTAAGAATTGTAGCGCTGAATGAGAAGAATCTATGTATTCTTTTCCCAAAACAACCCAGCCTGTCGCATGGGAAGTTCAGAAGCAGAAGGAATGGCTATCCTCTCATTGTCCTGGCGTCTGGTAGCATGCCCCTGAAAATGGAAGTTCCACCAAGCCCCTTGACCTAATCATGCTGCCTTCTGAATCTGTCACCCCAAGACACTTATCCTCCTGTATCTAATCCCTGACCCGAGGTATGCTGTATACAGATAATACGTCAGGGCCTCGCTCCTTCTGGACAAAATGATGCTGTTCCAGTTGTACCGATGGAGATGAAAAGAAATTGCTCGGCCATCACACTGGCAACTAGAGGCAGCCCCCTCAGTTCGTGGCAAGCCCCCCTCTGTGTGGCATGTGGGAAAGGGGCACTGCTGATTTTTTGCAGGCTGACCCCAAACACCAAGCAGGATCCCTCCCCCATTTTAAAACCCTTTACATTTCCTACCATTGGCTAGACTTCAAACCATGGAGCATCCTCCTCGTATCAGTTGATTTGGCTGGCCTGGCAGGGCCAAGGGGAGCCCCTGACTGAGGTCTGAAGTGGCACCAGTGAGACCCAGGTTCAGGTCCCCCCCCCCCAGGCCATGGAAGCTCCCAGGGTGGCTTTGGGCCCATCACTCTTGGCCCAACCTACCTCATAAGGTCGTTGTGGTGGGGAAAAATGGGGGGGGGGGATACTATGATACTTTGAGCTCCTGAACAGAGGGTGGGACATACGTCTAACAAATAAATACATAAAATATTGGCGTTCCAGGGTCTGCTCTTTTTTTCTTATCATCCGCAGGTTTGCACCTCTTCCTCAACCAGAATAGAAAAGGCCTTAATCCGAAACCCACACATTTTCCTTAACTTTGTTACTGAAGAAAAAAAAACACTGTTGGCTGAGTATTCACAATGCTCTGAATTATCAACTAATGGGATGGGCCGTATGCTCACCTTGGCCACTTGGGAAAAAGACGAAACACCAAGATTAAAACTAACCCAGCTCTCATCATGCCCTCAGCCACTGACTGAGTTCAGCATGCTTTGCACAGGCAAACTAAGAGAAGGAAATCTGCGGGGCTGAGCTAGAAACGGCAGCACTCAGACCGATCCCGGGGAAACACACAGTCCACCGGCCCAAAGGCAAGCAGGCCTTTTTAAGAAAGGGATCCGCAGGGGAGAAAAAAGAGAAGAAAATCCATCTCTGAGCGGCAGATAAATCTAAATACCCTGAACTCCGGGAGGCAAAGATTTAGGAAAGTGGATTATCAGATCCTTCCACCCAAAGGAGGTAGAGCCCCATTAATCAGCTTTCTTAGTAAGGTGAGAAGGATCTTTAGGTAGATCTCCCCGCTGAGATACATAAGTTAGAAGAGTCTCCGGGAGCCCAAGGGGAAAAGATCCCATGGGAAAGAGAGCCTGGAGGCTGGGATCTCCCGACCGAAGGAAGAGGAGCAGGCGTTAGAGGGCGAGGTCGCGTAATTCGGCCCACGGACCCGGGTTAAGGAAGGAGAGCCGAAAGGCGATTCGACCTGCTGCCATTCCGACGGCAGATCGACGGGAGGGCTGGGCCGAATCGATCGCGTAAGCCGACACGCGAGCCACCCTCGTTCCTGGCCAAATAAGCCGGCGGCCAGATCTCTCTTGGAGAGAGAGGGGAGACCGGGAGGGAAAGCCCGCCTTCGATCCGCCGCTTCGGCGGAAGGATGATCCAGCGATCCAGCCCCCTAAGGCTGGCCTCGAATCTGTGCTGGGCTTGGTTTCCGAGTCAGCCGGCAAGAGAAGCCGCGGGGAGAGGGTCTCTCTTCACTCCTCACCCAGGCCCTGCCCCAGACACGGTTTCTCGGGAGGAATCTCTTGCCAAACCCCCCGCCCGCCTCCCGGGCGCCTTTCCCTCGCTGGCCGCCGGTGTTCAGCCCGGGTCGCCCTGGCGCTCCAGGCTGAGCCCGGCGGAGCGGCGTTCCGACGTGGGGCGCGAACTAGCAGGGCGTCCTCCTCTGGTCTCTTCGGGGGAAGAAGGGGAACAAAGGCCTGGCCCGGAGACCCCAAGGGAGGCGGGTGACGGCGACAGAGAGCCCTTGGCGCGGCCAGGAGCGCAGGAGGAAGCCGGCCCGCCGCTTCCCGCTGAGACTTACCCATAAATTTCATCTTTCTCTCGCTTCAAGGCGTCGTTGGAGCCCAGTCCTGGAGGCATCCCAGGCCGGTGGTTAACTCCCGCCGATCCATAAGGGGCCCCCTGGTTTAAAGCGTGATGTTGCAGACCCCTGCCCGAATGTGGGTCTCCGAAGGCCGGCAGAGAGACTCCGTCCATTCCGGCGTAATGTACCAACTCATCGTACTACGGGAGGTGCAAATCAGGTGCCAGGCGAGGAAAAAGAAAGAAAGAAAGTTTCAGACTCCCGGTTTAGGATTTTTTTCCCGCCCTCCTGTCCTGCAACTAGGAAATGCTCCTCCAGATCTAGGCAGACCTACCAGGACAATTTCCTTCACAAGAGGCCGGGGACGCCTTTGAAAGCAAGGATTTCGAAAGTGTTCCTCCAAACATGGGCCGAAGTATTTGGGGAGGGGGCGGGAGGATACAGGCGAGGCGAATGATGCCAAACCAGCCATTATCCCCTACCCCCCCCCCAAATCAGGGCCTTTTCCACTGACGTCAAGAACTTCCTGGGTGAACCCTGCCTTGTATTCTTCGGCCCGCTCTCCCCACCCCGTCCCAAATACCCCCAACCTCAGGGGTCCTCCTCATTCTCATTTCAAGGCGGGGGTGGGTGTGGGGTGGAATAGAAGAGCCGGGTCATTCTTTAAGGATTAAACTAACAAACAAATCACCAACTTTTCCCTCTCTGGCCACGGATTTCCATCTTTTGTGCTTTTCGCCACTTAAGTCAATTTCACGCCACCGCTGGTCAATTTCACGACCGCGGCCTTCTTTAGCTCAGGCGCCACTTCAGCCCCCGCCAGCGCGGGCGAGCCTCGCGCCTTCGATCTGGGGATGGCCCCCATTTAGAAGCAATAACAACTGCCCCAAAGAAACCCACACACGCACCCACAGAGACATACTTTTAAAAAGGCATTCAACAACCAAACCGAAGACCTCTTACGTTGGCAGGCAAATCAGCGGGGAAAGTCCACCGTTCAGCCTGCAGTTCTCAGCTCGGCTGCAGAAATCCCCCACCTCACCTTACCCCTATATTCGGAACAAATAAACTCGGTTTCCTTAAAAAGGAACAAAACGCACCTACACAAAAACACATTATCTTCCTCGTCATCACCATCCCAGAAGTCTGCACCTGGGAGCTGTTTTGGAAACTTTAAAAAGAAGGGGATCTTTTTGTGTGTGTGTGTGAAAGGGAGCAGAACTTTTGAGAGAGGAATTAGACCCGCGCGGAACTTCTTCTCCTGCTTGGATTTTATTCAATTTTTATTTGTTTGTTTGTTTGTTTGTTTATTTCAGGGATTTCGACATAGAAAGTGTGCGGGTCTATATTGCCGCTTCTGCAGCTGGGCACTTAAAAAGAAGAGTAAAACAAAATCTGATCTTTTGCACGCTCAATCAACTTTTCCCATTTTCTTTTCAGCCTGTCCCGGTCCACTTCTTTGCCAGTTGCGCCCCCCACCCCGCCCCATGGAATCAACATGCGCTTCTTTTCCTTCTCTTTTCCTTCCTCCTTCCTTCCTTCTTTCTCTAAGGGAAGAAGGTCAGCGTCTTTATAACTGAGTTAAAATCCCGCATTGCACTTTAAACTTTACAATTTTTCTGTAAAGGAAAAAGCAAAACAGAGGAAAAATTCCCCTCCCTTCCCCCGGGGAGAAAAAGTGCGATTTTTTTTCCACCCTGCCAAGCAACTATTCTTATTTAAATCATGTCTTACAGCTCAGCTCTGAGCAAAGAGGAGCCGATCCATTTAACCTTCCCCTCCCTCTCTTTTCTTCTCTTTCACACAGTTCTGCAAAGACTCCTCTGACTTTTCAGAATACACTTTTTAAAATAAAATAAAATACTCCGAAGGGAAGCATCTTTGAAGTATGCATGGATACACAGGCGAGCACACATTATATGGTCATTTAAAAAAATATTGAGGGCAAATCATAGCCCAAATCTTGCTTTGGGAAGCAAGATCCCACTCGTTTTTTGGATTAATAAATTGTGACTGTGTTGGAGGTTTCCTCTCCCCAACTTTTCCTTTTCTCCAGAAATGATTTCTAAATCTTGGAAAGTTACATCAGAAAGAATGAGACATAATAACAAATAGTGCTAAAGATTGTTTTGGAAAGAGAGAGAGAGAAAGAGGAAGAAAAGAAAGAAAGAAAGAAAGAAAGAAAGAAAGAAAGAAAGAAAGAAAGAAAGAAAGAAAGAAAAAGAAAAAGAAAGAAATCACTGTGTAAGCTACATTTCGATTGAATTAAACAGCAGATGATTAAATACCAAGAAAAGGATAATAACAGCAATACTTAGCAGAAAGTATGTTTTTTCCCCCTCTGCTTCCTGGAACTATACCTACACCCCAAATATAATACCTGAGATTCCAGATACGAGGATGTTCCCATATCCCCCCCCCCAAAAAAAAGAAACAGAGGCGGTGGGGAAGCAGGCTCCTAGGAAGAGTGTTCTGAATTTCTTACAAGGGGCCAAACTGAAGAGACATTAACCTCAGGCTTTCATGCCGGCTCACTCTTTTCTGCCGCTCCGTGGAGGGGGTCAGAGGAGAAAAAAAGAATGAAAAAACTTTCGAAAGGCATCATAAAGTGCCACAAACCTGCCCCGCTGAAACTTTCAAATGAGCAGCTGGACATCAAAGGGACAGGGATAGAAAAAGTCAAGCATTCCTCTTTTCCTTCTGCTTTTTAAGTTATGCCCACTGCATTTCTGTTTGTTAGAGTTTGCTATGGAGACGTTCACTAGCACAGCAGTCAATATTTGGGTTTGGGTTTTGGGGGTTTGTTTTTTTTCCCCGCTTTTTGAAAAAGCTCTTAACTCACAAAGTTAAATGCAGGGAAGAGAGAGATGGGAGCATCAAGTTATATCAAGAAGTGACAGCTGTGGATTCATTTGAAAGGGGGAGATGATTAAAAAAAAAAATCCTATTCTCCCCTTCCTTCCACCACCTCGGTCCCAAATCTCACTGGAGACTTACCGGGTCACCAAGAAGCCAACAATGGATGGAATAAGAAGTTGTGGTGGAAAATGACAAGCATGGGAAGGTTGAGAAAACAAGAGAGACTCCAACCACGAGTGATTTGCACGAACTGATGTGCAAATTTCAGGGAAAGCAACTCAAGTGCATCGTATTTTTTTATAACATGGCTATCCTTTAAGATACAGCCCCCCCCCCCAAAAAAAAGCAATCCGGAGGATTTGACTTTAAAATTACACACCGAACCCTCAGCAACGGCCTGTTTTATTTCTTAAAAACTATTATTTTCAGTGGTCTAATGAAAAGAGAAAGCTGTTACTTGGGCGGGGAGGCGGCTGAGGCGATCCTCACTTACCCTTTGGGCCATCAGACGCTCCCAAGATTTTTCTCCAGGGCTTCTTTTCCTTCTGGCGTCTCCCCCCGGGAGAAGCGGGCTTTGGGGGGAGCCAGAAAGGCGTCAGTTCTTTCCAAAAAGCAAGAGGTTCATTTCTGCCACTTCCTGCACCCCCATCAATTCCAGGCAGCTGGAGCAAAGAAGAGGAGCTGGAAACTGTTGCAGGGGTTTGCCCCCGGATCGGATCTCTCCCCCCCCCCCCCCCCCCCCCCAGAGAGGAGCGATCTGCGGATAACTCTAAAGAACAATAATTTTAACAATCAGAAAAACCACGCTGTCCTTTCAGAAGTCTTGTTCCGTATTATTATTTTTAAGAAAACCTAAGCAGGATGCCAGCTGGGGCTTCATCAGCGACGTTTGCCTGGAAGTGGGGGCCTGGGGGAAGGGAGAGAAAACTAGAGTGGCTTAGATCTACAGAGCTGGCTTGCAGGGGATCCCTCCTTTCTCCAAAGTAGATCTCCGCTTCTGCCGTTCGCTGCCGTCGCTGTCCGTCGAGGGCTGAGAATGTCAGCCCAATGATTGATGATCCTCGTACTCTGTGTGTGTGTGTGTGTGTGTGTGTGTACACACACGCACCAGCCGGGTGGTAATTTGAAAGGGGGAGGGGGAGACAAAAGGGAAATGATGGGGTGCTGGATGGAAACACCCCCCAAAGATCCTTTTTCCTCCCGAAAAGGCGCTCGCGCCCGCTCCTTTCTATTCTTCTTGCCTTTCTTCTTCTCGGCTTCAAAACATGGACCTCAACTCCCAACAACGCGCCCCCCCCGCGCGCCGCTCTTTCTCCCTTTCCTTTTTAAACGCGCCTCCAAGATGCAAAGGAGGAGAAATGGGGGGGGGGATGTTGATAGAGAGAGCGCGCTAGAGAAGGTGCTGGAGGAAGAGGAAGAGAGGTGTGGT